AAGCAATCGGTTGAATTAATTTCCTTCCAGTCGATGACATATCGAGTAATAATAATAAAAACACGTCGATATGCAAAGGTGATATTGGAAGGCCGTCTACTTAAAGCACACTTAAAGGGTAATTGATTACCTTGAGTAATAGGTAATGGTGGCCGAGCAAATACAACGTTAACACCTTCAAGAATAGCTTTGCGCATTCTTTCAACTTTAACAACGCGCTCAAAATAACCCCCACAAAGATCGAGCAGATTTTTAGCAACAGTGGCGCGTGCTAGTGTGTGATGGAAGAGCTTTCCATCGAAATATAGCCAGGGACAGCACATCAACCATGGTATTGGTGCTCCGCATGCATCGTTTGCTAATAATGCTGTCTCTACGCCAGCCATAAAAAGGCTGGACAATTGTACTCCACGAGTCGTTACAAGAGATACCTAAGAACGTGTATTTTATTATAAGTTATATAAATAATTTAATAATAACAGTTATTGTTATTATTCAATTGCAGAATATATTACCTGTAAGTCTTGTAAATATTCAGCATTCATTAATTCAGGTGAAAATGCTTGAACAATAAAGGCATCCAATTCTTGTCGTCGTAAAATTTTCACTTTGTCGGAAAATGTCATAATATACCTGAAAATAAGCAACAAAATATTTTAACCTCTCATCTTAACCTCTTCTTGTCTAATAATTTTGCGCTTTAATAAATATGAACAGTCTATAGAAAATAAAATACTACCGCTATAAATTTATAAACACATTTTTAATATTACATTTGATTAAGTTATTATATTTTGATGAAATTAAATTAATTGTAGAATATTTATGTCTTTTTTTATTTTATTTTGCAAAATTATGTATAAAAATAATTAATAATGTGAATTAATGCTTCTTTTTTTTCTTCCATTAATATGTAATACCAAATCGTGATAAAGTTTTAGAAATTTTAACAATTTTATTGTTAAATCTCCATACGTGTAATGTTCAATTTTTAACGAATTTTATGTACAAACAACGTCGTAAAAATGTTTATCTTTACTGAATAAATTATTTAAAAAATATTTATTACCGTAGCACACAAGCCATAACCAATAAATGTTGTGGAACGTAAGAGGTATTCAACATGAGTGGTGTGTCAGATTTTAAACAGGTTAAAAATCCTCTTAAGCGACGCCTTTTATCATCAATTCCAGTACTGAATGAAAGCATTAATAATGTTAATAGTAATTACAATAATAATAAAAGCATTTAGACCGACGTATGATTTCAAACGTTTTATTTATTTGTTCTTTAATTACCCGAACCACAGTCGTTGAATTGTGGGAACGCCCCAGCCAATTTGCTCGGCTTTAACTAACTGTGGTGTTTGATATGGATTTGCTTTGGACCAAATCCACTCTTTAATTATAACATTTGGTACTTCTATTTTATCGGTATCTACAAATGTTTAAAAGAAAAAATGTTTTTTTATACAATAATGCATACGATAATCAGTTTGACGATAAAATACGGCTACTAACCACCCTTCTCTTTACTTTTAGTGGCTAAGTATAAACGATGATGTAAATTGAAAAGAATAGCATAGACCATTTGCCTAACTGGTCGGTATATAATGTGAATCGATGGAAATTCTTTATGATTTTCGTCTTCGAGTAGTACTGGTAACTTGATTTCTCCAGCTACAAGAATCTGATAAATATTAGGCGACATCAAACCCTTTTGATGCCTTTCGGACGCCGTTTGCATAACTTCTGGCACTGAAGTCGGTATGGTTGTTGAATTTACGGTTTGTTTGGATGAGTCAGCTGTGACGTGAGAAGGGGATGTTGCGGACGAGCTACTACTTGAACTACAGGAACTTATTAAAAGATTATGCGTGCCATTGACCGTATGTCCATTGTCTAATAAAGGTTCGTAATAGTTTAGAGTGAGATATTCGAATAATGTAGTGTATTGTGGTTAATTGTAAATTGTTTACATACTGTGATCATCTTCCAAACGAATATTATCAGCATCGCCATGACCCTGTAAGCCTGGTGGTTCAATTATTATTTGAGGAGTAGATTTAGCATTTGCAGTAGCTTCCTTGTAGGCATTTAAACTTTCTTGTTCGCTCTCTTCTGTTTCGGATGCAAAGCGTGACGTCTCCATGTTGGTGTCATTGTCATTCGTGGAAGCTAAATCAGATGCAAGCGATGGACATGGATCTTTTTGAATAGAATCTGACGTATAAGTAACAAAGGATTATTTTAATATTGACAGAGACGTAAGGCGGAAAAGCAAATATATTTTATGCAAACGGCAATGGAAAGCTCTGCTTCTTACCTTTGGGCTTAATCGGCTTATAATGTAAAAATCCATCTTTTGTTCCATTAACATAATATTGAACCGATTGTTTAAAGTGCCAGTACCTAGCATCCGTTATAGTGCCAAATACTTTCTGTGCAACAGCATCGAGTTCAATAGATGGCAAATCTTTAACGAAATTTGCAACCGAGCGTACGGTTTGATCGACGTTCATTTTATTTTTACTTGGATTAATTATCTTATAAAAATCTGCCAAATCGTGTTCGCTTAAGATGTAATTTCCAAGTAATGCAGCAAAAATACATAGTCTTTCGGCTGGGATATTAAGCCCTTTCAACACTTCTTTAATAAGATATTCTTTTGTATCGAGAGAACCCTAAAAATTATGTCTTAAATGAGAAACGGAGGCTCTTCCTTACACGACAATGTAGAAAGAATCAAGCTAATACATAAGATACCTTGTACGTTAACTTTAATTGTTCCGATGAGAAATATCTGACAGGGTCGAATACAGCATATTCGGCGTCATCCGCAATCAAACCATGATAATTGTTCTCTCGGCAATAAGCAATGACTTCTTGATGATGATCATCCATACTACTTAACTAATGGAACAATTCATTTTTAATTTATTTAGGGATAATGAGAACAAACTCGTTAGTTTACACGTGCAATTAATGCGTAAAATAATTTCACTTACAACTGTTACATTTAAATATCTAAGGGCCATTCGCAAGCTAGTTTTCAGAGATGCTGGAGGAATCCACCAAATTTTTGGCGGTGGCGTTCCTTTGCTCGCTATGTGCTTTAATACCTAGATGGTGGGGATGTGCAATTTCATTAGACATATGCAAGAGAAATTTGTCGATCATAATTTAATATGGCACAGTTGCTTACGTTATTAACTTTAAGTCGAGCATCTAACTGATCGTTGATCCACTCTACTCGCCGAGGAGCTTCGAGAGAACCGTTAAAAAACACAGCCAATTCTAAACCCGCTGTTTCGCTGGTTTCTATGAAGATCGTAAGGAATTGTATCATTCGATTCCATTGTCCACCGCAGGCCCAGTCTAAGTAAAAATTGTCATCGATAATTGCATCGGGTGGTTGTTTACAGTTCTGCCAGTGTCGGCAAGTATTTCTATAGATAAATAAGTAAAGGAGAGCGACATACCTGAAAAATAACCACCATACAATCTATCGAGACAACATTCACCATCGAGAACAAGGCGCAATTTGGCATTAGAGGGTGTCTGAGGCTGTCCTTTGTTATTCCGAGTACGTGACTTTGGAATACTTCTAGCGACTTTTAACAAATCAACGGGCACTGATACACCTGGTACCGAGTTACCATCCATAAAAACTTGCAACGCTTGGATACTCATTTTTACAATATATCACTTGCAAATCAATACACGACAAATAAAACCAACTAAATTTTGACAATTATGATTAACTTTCAAACTAATAATTTAGTTCCTACGATTTTTATTTCTACTTTTTTCTTTACTAATAAATAACTAATAAATTACGATGAATTCCAATTTTGATTTTGGCAGCCAGGACCTGAAAAAGGAAAAAAGAAAAGTCAAGGATTGCTTAGACTTAAGATGCTTACCAATGTCACGTTCAAATAATGCGATAAATAAATAATAAAGATAGAGTCGACCAATACGAGCGAAAGCCATATATTACAACAGGGACACACGAGATCGAGGTGTAGGGAGAATATTTGAAAAGCCGATAATTTACCGTTGATTGAGACGACAGTTACTGAGGGTCAATGGAAGCTGAGAATGCCAATGTTTTACGTCGGTTTTAACGAAGCACTTTACAAAGCGACTTTACCCCATTAAGGCTAAATTGCTCCCAACCCAAGAGCAGCGGCATTAAAGGCTAAATGGCTGATGAGTGACGCTCGCGTGTAGCTGGCCGCTGCCTCCTTCCCACAAGAGCCAACACAAACAAAAGCTGCGAAGGAATATGTCCGTGGGGGTGCGTGCACATGGGGACGTCATGTAATTAATGGTAAAGAGACGCCTCGATAGCGACGTTAATTATCCGCGATCGGGAGGCAGGAGGATTTTATCAATGGAATTATCAATAGGATTATTAATGGAATTATTAATGGGTGCAGCACGCGAAGCAGGAGATGATGGATCGCGGCGAAAAGTGAGCCGCTTGGGAGTCGAGGGTCGAGAGATTAAAAGCCGGGGTGCATCGCGTTGTTGCACTTTAGCCTATTCAAACGGCGACCAATCAACCTAATGCAGTCGTTGCCGCGGGGGCATATATTAGTGTGATCGAGTAGCGTTCGGCCTGCAGGAATATGGCGGTCAGGACTCTAGGAGTTACTTCCCCGTGTAGAGGGAAGCGTCCGTCTCGATGGATCGAGGTATAAAAGTCATAGGAGAGTTGGCCGCCGCCGTTCTCGGATCGGCGCATCAGCCGCCATTGAGAGTTGCTCGGGGGGAGCTGCGATGAGAAGCAGGAAGAGGGTGGGGATCAGGGAGGAGGAGGAGGAGGAGGAGGAGGAGGAGGAATCATCCTGGCCAGTCGCCGGTCTCTCCAGTTGAAGCACAAAAACGCACTACGACGACGACGACGACGACGACGACAACGACGACGACGACGACGACGACGACGACGACGACGACAACAATGATATGATAATGATATGACCATGACGATAACAATGTCGATGACGATGACGATGACCATGACGATGAGAATGACAATCACAATGACATTGATAATGACAATGACAATGACAATGATAATGACAATGACAATGACAATGACAATGACAAAGACGACGACGACGACGACGAGGATGATCCTTTTCATTATCATTACAACCTCCTGGTTATAATGGATGAAGGGGGTGGGAATAAGAGGTAAGGACGAAGAACGGATGTTGGACGAAACGATGAGGCGCGCGTTCAGGAGGGCGTGTAGGAGGAGACTCGGGATTCGCTTTGGCACGTTCGTGGCCGGCGCAGGGAAATCGTTTTGGCGCGCCCGCACCGGCTAATTCTAATGTATGATCGAACGAAGCGGCGCCCTAGCGATCTCTCGCTGACCAACGGCTCGACGACGAGGTAAATAGCCTAGGTCCTGGGATCATTGGTACTCACCTCGAGTTAGGGCGAATCATCCTGGCCAGTCGCCGGTCTCTCCAGTTGAAGCACAAAAACGCACTACGACGACGACGACGACGACGACGATGACGACGACGATGACGAAATGATATGACCATGACGATAACAATGTCGATGACGATGACGATGACCATGACGATGAGAATGACAATCACAATGACATTGATAATGACAATGACAATGACAATGACAATGACAAAGACGACGACGACGACGACGAGGATGATCCTTTTCATTATCATTACAACCTCCTGGTTATAATGGATGAAGGGGGTGGGAATAAGAGGTAAGGACGAAGAACGGATGTTGGACGAAACGATGAGGCGCGCGTTCAGGAGGGCGTGTAGGAGGAGACTCGGGATTCGCTTTGGCACGTTCGTGGCCGGCGCAGGGAAATCGTTTTGGCGCGCCCGCACCGGCTAATTCTAATGTATGATCGAACGAAGCGGCGCCCTAGCGATCTCTCGCTGACCGGCGACACGGGCCCGAGCAGCGTAGAGGAGCTCTTTTCTTGCATGTGACGTCGTACTGTGTCGGTGATTCGAAAACGGAAATGGGGCCGAATGAGCGCCGCCGTTCGTCGAGTGCCCCGTGCAAGCGAGCGGCGGTAGCTAGTGCTGCGCCTCTTTAGCTCCGATCGTGGCTAAACTCCAGAGTCGGGACACCTCACCGCCATCACGCACTACTACTTCAATATCGACATTTTTTTTTTTTTTTTTTTTTTTTTTTTTTTTTTGTTGTTGTCAAAGGCTAATCGATTGGCTCGATCCGCATACTTGGATACTTTACCGTGTGAGGCGATGCCAATTGTCATAGCACGCCGCCTTTTGCATTATTAATCCTTTCCTTTTAAATTTTAAATGGTTAACTACACTTAACAATATAAACCGAAATCGGGAGACGCTTTCCTGTTATTAATGGCGGAGCCAATTGGAGTGCGTCAGAAGATGTCTGAATTCTTACTGAGAAAATGGATATGATGTTGGTTTATCGCCAATATTTATGTCAATTTGCTCATTATATTTAATGATACTCGAAGATTCGATGATCCCTCGTATCAATGCATAATCTGTCTTAGGCTGCATTACTAACGAACTAATGTGAAGGGCTTAACTTTACGTGACCGGATGTAGAGGGCGCGACGAAACACATATTTTTGTTACCTCTCTGTAAGACTATTTTTGAAACCTTTTTTAATTCGAATAATAAAAATAATAATAAAGGAAAATATTCAATGATTATTCGGCAGGTGTGAAGAGATTCGATTCAAACTAAACAAACACGGGCATTAGCTTTCGAGTTTACAAATCCTATGTGCAGGCATGTGAATTTCGAAGATTTAAAAAAAAAGTTTTAAACAATCGATTATGATAAATGTATCGTCACTTCTAATTACTCAATAACTTAAAAAGTTAATTGCTATTTATAAAAATATAAATGTTTTATTTTAATTTTATTAACACAGAAGATAGAATACACTTTTGAAATTTGAAAAATTATAATAATTGCCAATGTTATGAAGAATAAATTTTTATACAAACAATTTTGTTATAAATTGTCGTAAGAAAAAGAACCGTTTGCATGAAACATCTTTTTAATATTTTTTTTTATATAAATTATACATTCTCACTTTACAAATATATTTTACTAATAACATACAATCATCTCACACAAACTTTTTATAACTAAATGGAAGAGCAAACCAAATAAAAATAAATTATTAAATGGATAAATCAATTCCTACAAACTGATTTTGGTCTCTTCGATCATCTCAAGTATCAATCCAGAGCATTGTGCTTGAATCGTTGGATTCAAATTATTTGAAATTCAGCAACAGTAGAGTATGGATCTAGTCACTTATCACACATTGTTGTTTTTTCTTTTTTATCTGGTTTTTTTTTTTTTTTTATTTTTTAAATCTATTATGTTTAATGTATATTCAATAACAATTATGCAAAAATTCAGAATTATTTCTCATATAATAAAAAGTACATGCAACTTTAAACGCTGCAAAAATATTCACGTCCATAGTATAAGCTATGCATTGCATAGTCAAGAAAAAGTTTTAAACAATTTTTCTTCTTTATTTCTTTACAGTTCATCATGTTCTTCACTTTCTTTTGTATTTTCATCGCCATCGATATCAGATTCATTCTCAGTCTCATTAATATCATCAGAAAAGTCATCGTCGTTATTATCGTCAGGAAGTTCGTCTAATGGGATACCTAATGATTTACGCATAAGCATCTCGACATTTTCTGCAAAGCTTGCCGTTTCTTTAAGCATATAACCAGATCTGAGCGTAGCCGTTTGGAACATCATTAAAGCCATTTTCTTTGTAGTTTCATCCTCTTTGTCTTCTTCCACTCTTCGTAATAATTCCCTGATAAGTGGATGGTGCGGATTAATTTCCAGAATCTTCTTTTGATTCAAGTAATAACTCTTCTGTGGATCGTCTGCCTTTTGATGCGCATTAGATATTGCAAGTCTTTCCATGTTTCCAGTCCATCCAAACATACTAGCTACAAGAGCACATGGAGAATTAGTCAAACGCTCCGATATTTGAGCTTTACTAATATAATCCTTAAGATTATCATTGAAATATTTAACAAGAACTTCGAATGTGCTTTCAAGTTCTTGTTTTCTTTCCGCAGACTTGGGCCCTTCGTCAAGAGAAAATCCTTCTTTGGCAACATTTTGGAATTTCTTCCCATCATACTCTGGTACGGATGAGAGTGCGTACTCATCAACAGCTTCGACCAAATACAAAACTTCATAACCCTTCTTCAATAAACGTTCAACAAACGGAGATTTCTTAACCTCGTCAATATTAGATCCAGCAATATAGAAAATGTGATGTTGATTTGGCTTCATACGAGAAACGTAATCAGGCAGAGACGTATATCCATCCTGTGCGGATGTCCGGAACATCAGTAATTTTGCCAATCTAGCACGATTCTGAGAATCTTCGATAATACCCAATTTGATGTTTGTACTATATTCCTTCCAGAAAGCATCGTAAGTCTCTTTTGGAATCTTTTTTATCATATCAAGAACTTTACGTATTAATTTCTTTTTAATAATCTTAATAAGCTTGTGTTGTTGCAGATTTTCTCGGGAAACGTTTAATGGAAGATCATCACTGTCAACGATACCTTGAATGAATGCCAAATAATTTGGCATTAAGTCATTAAATTTATCAGAAATGAAAACCCTTCTGACGTATAATTTAATATTATCATTTTTGGTTCCATAACGGTTAAAGCTATCGCTAGGTTGAACTATAGGTATGTATAACAAGGATTTGAAAGTAACCTCCCCCTCCGCAACAAAATGTACCTTAGCCAATGGGTCCTGAGCATCGCTTGTTAAAGATTTGTAGAAATCATGGTATTCTTTATCGGTAATTTCTGAAGGCTTTATAGTCCAAATAGGCTTAGAGTCATTCAATAATTCCCAATCCCAAACGGTCTTGCTAACTTTTTTCTTTTCTTTTTCTTCGCTAACATCTTCTACCTTCGCATCTTCCTCGTCTGTCTTCTTTTCTTCGTCCTCTGTCTTCTCCTCTTTCTCTTCTACTTCTTCGTCGACATCGATAGTTTTACTGTTCCACATATAAATAGGGAAATTAATAAATTGAGAGTATTTCTTGATAAGATTTTTGATGGTGTCTTCTTCCAAAAAGTCAGATGCCTCGTCCTTTAAGTACAATCTGCAATTAAAGTATTTCATAAATATTATTTAACTGTTACAAAATTTTTATTAATTTTCTCATTCAAATTGTATATATTTTGAATACATACTCTATAGTAGTTCCTCTTTTAAGCGTTTCGCCTCGAGGATCTTCGATAATATTGAAGTTTGCACTATCAGATTCCCATATGTACTGCTTATCGTCGTTATGCTTGGTAGTGACTACTACTCTATTGGCCACAAGGAAAGCAGAGTAAAATCCAACACCAAATTGTCCAATCATATCGTTCATTTCTTGAGTATTAGACGTATCTTGCATTTTGCCCAAAAATTCTGCGGTACCCGATTTAGCTATGGTGCCCAAATTATTTATAAGATCTTTCTTAGTCATACCGATACCAGAATCTGAAATACGGAGTATCTTATTTTCTACATCGGCCTTTATCCTTATGCATGTTTCAGGGTTGGATTCCAGAATATTCTTATCGGTTAGAGACAGGAGTCGAATTTTATCTAATGCATCCGATGCGTTAGATATCAATTCCCTAAGGAAAATTTCCTTGTTACGATACAAAGAATTAATGATAAGCTTCATCATTCTATTAACTTCGGTTTGAAATTGGAACTTTTCTGCCTTATCTCTTAATTCTTTTACTTGCGATACATTTAGCCCATCAATGTTAATAGCTTCCGCCTCTCTCTGAACAACTTGTTCATCTAGAAAATCATAAATAAAAACATATCAATCCATTTATTGAAAGACGAGAAGTGAGAGAATTAATACAAGCGCACATAATCGAAGCAACGATATTAAAAAAAAAATGTATAACAAACCTGTCCTTAAGGCCTCCCGACTGGCACCAAGATCATCATCGATACTGCCCAACTCCTGATTAATAATTTCCGATGCTGTTGCGAATCCTACGAAAAACAGATGTTCTTACATACATTTGTAATTTTGAAAAATGATCCAGCATGCACGAAAATAATAATAAATATGTTTAGTAAAATATGAAAGACGAAAAAAAAAGATAAAAACCAATTTAAATATTCGTGTACAGCGAATCGCTCCAAGTCTGTTCGACCTTACAATTAATACGATAAATAC